ACCTACTGAACAAAATTTAAGAGGTGAGGCCTGGAAATCTACATTTTTAATCACTTCTCAAACATTTCTTTCACATAGTAAAGTCTGGGAACCTTTACCAGGAGACCGAACCTCAGAAAACTGATTTGCCTCATCTGTAAATTTGCAGCATGGGTCTTGCTTCCACAGACTATCAATAATTAATTTAACATAAAATCCACACCCAGCTCCTACCATAAGAAACAAGTAGAGAATTCTGTTGATTATTTTTGTCCATATATGTATGTCTGAAGTAAGCAGATATTTTATGGGAAATGCTGAAAAAATACTGGGGACAAATACAGATAGAATTATTAAGGAAAACAGAGCTCAACTCTGGGCCCCACACAGGTCACCATTTAGTATGTACCAGATGCTGGATACAGCAATTGCTAGACAGACTAGGTCCCTATCCTTATTTGCCCTTTATGGTGCATTTTAACTGTTTAACATATACATAAACAAAGACGTAAGATAATTTCAGAGAGTATCAATGCCACGAAGGCAAAGAAATAAGTTGATGTGATAGAGAAAGTCAGTGGGAGAAGAAAGCAATAGCAGTGGCTGCCTGAAAAGTAGATTCCTTGAGGAGGTAACATGTGCACTGGGCTCTGAAGGACAAAGACCCAGTCATCAGGAAGCTGAGGAGAGAGTGTTCTAGATAGAAAGAACTGTTTCGATAAAGACCCTGAACTGAGAGCAAGGTTCTCATGAAATTATTATAGAAATTAAATCAGAAATCAGATTATATGTACAAGATGTTTCATGACATAGAAAATACTATTTTATGGTATCAAATATCATTTTTATTAATATGTTAGAATTGTTTCAGGACAAAAGCCAAGATAATGAAAGACCTCAAGTCTAAGTCACAGGAAGAATTAAGCAACTGAGGCTCTAATACCTGGAGACCAGGAGACACAAGTGTGTGTTTGGGGGAGGAAGAGAGAAGTCTTTTGAAGGACTACGTTCTTATGGAAGAGGATTTAATTTTTTTTTTTTAATAGTTAGATGGAATGAGCTTGCACTGGTAAACATTTCAGGAAGGCAGAATCTTGGCTCAATATGACAATGTACATTCAAAGAAAATTGTAGGTAAATAGGATGACTGGGAGGCAATGAGTTCCACATGAGTGGAGGTGATCAGGGATGGAACAGATTGCTCACAGAGGAATGACTGGGCTAGATAACCTATAAGGTAGGTCATATACCTATAAAGTCTGCAACCCTCTGAAAACACACACAGAGTTTCAGTGTTCTCTCTCCACAAGCACTATAACCACTATAACCAACATTGCCTCTTGATCTCATACTTTACAATCTGGAGGAGGTTTTAAGAGAAACCTGAGAGATACAGAGGAATCTATCATATTCCTCATTTACACTGTCACTCAGTAATAACGTCTTCACCTCTGCAATCATCAATATATATTTCCAAAGGGCAAATTAAGAAACAGGATAGATGAACATTCATTTTTGAAAACTGTGGCTAAGATTTAGTGGTGTTTTAGCGATGAACGTTAAACAATTATTTGGACCCATTAAAGCAATTACTCTATTTTAACAAAAATGTGATGAAACTGGATTTCATCAGGTCCCAATAAACGGCATGCTAATGAACAGCCAAAGTCTCCAGCAAGCAGGTATGTGGCCTTTTCTTGGTTTATTTTTTAATGGGAGCCATAGGCCCAAGAAGGAAATGGCAACCCACTCCAGTATTCTTGCCTGGAAAATCCCTATGGACAGAGGACCCTGGTAGGCTACAGTCCATGGGGTCACAAAGAGTCAGACATGACTGAGCGACTTCACTTTTTCACTTTTATAGGCCCAAGAAGATGATTTCCTCATTTAAAAAAAAAAAAAAAACCCTGACAGAGACTCTCTACTCTTCATTATTTATGTATACTGTCCAGTAAGTAAAGCAAAAAACAGATACTGAATTGGCACCTGACTACACAGGGTCAAAATACAAAAGATAAACAAATCTAACTTTCCAAGGACAGAGAGACCAAGTTAGACTTGGGAGTAAAACTAGAAGCTACTTCGAAAAGCGAAATGTAACTAAATGACCTTTATATAAAATATATTTCCACATCTAGATGTATGTGGCTTAAATGAAGATATACTCCAAGAAACATTCTCTTAATATCTACATATACTTTTGTTTATTCAACTAAGTATGCTTCTTAAAAAACTACTTGTAGGGCTTCCCTGGAGGCTCAGTGGTAGAGAAGAAGCCTGCCAAAGCAGGAGACAGGATCCCTGGTCCAGGAAGATCCCACATGCCGTGGAGCAGCTAAGCCCGTGCGCCAGAGCCCGGGAACCACAGCTACTGAAGCCCAAGCACTTGAGGGCCCGTGTTCTGCAACAAGAGAAGCCACTGCAATGAGAAGCCTGAATACCGCAACTAGAGAGGGACCCCCCCTTGCGGCAACTAAAGAAAAGCCCAAGGAGCAATGAAGATCCAACACAGCCAAAACATAAATAATTAATTTTTTTAAAAGATTCTACATCTTAAAAAAAACTACTTGTGAATAAAATTATATTATGACTCCTTTAGGACAACTTATTAAAAGAAACTTTGAAGAATCTTTCCAGAAAAGTAAGGCTACATCCATCCACATCATTGTCCATAAAATTATACCGCATTTTATGAAATCTAGGAACAACAAAAGCTAGAGTTACAAAAATTAAAAGATTTAATACTTAATGTCAAGAAAGTATCATAGAATTTTTTATATAGAAATCTGTTTCTAGGGCTATAAAATTTATATTGATGTGTACAGTATTTTAAAAATATACCTAGTCCATAAAGGTTAAACATAACCTATAATGTGAACAATCACTTCCTAACTTCTTTCTCTTTAAGTTCATGTACAGTTGAAATCCAATCTGGCAGTTTTATTAAGCTTTTAATCCTTCAGAGCTCAGAGTAACGGCAGGATTGGATTAGTGACTCAGGAAACCCAGGTGTCTCTGTCCTGGAGGGGGTGCCACCTAATGTCATCTGGGTTGCCTAGAAACCCAATCCTTAACCGGGTGTGGAGGTTTAATTCTTCAGATAAATCATTCCAAGTCCCCAAAGCATCTCTGGCAACACTCTCACTTGACTATTGCACAGGAAAGCTGTGGTACCACAAAACACCACAAAGGACTAGCACAAGGAACCAAGTCTCCTGTCTGCAAATCCAATGTGATCACCGTGACCAGGATTGCAGTCTCCCCTCAGCTTGACAGGGGCCAAACTTCTGAACCAACCACTAAGAGAAGGGCACCCTTTAGAACAACGGTGTTAGCAACTCAGTTGGTGTATTTCTTTTCTCTCTAAAGAGCTGAGACCTCTTGCCACTTGTTTTTTTTTTCCCCTCAGGTACCAAAAATATTAGGGCTCATTTTGGATTTTCCAAACATTCTCATCCTTAATTGAGAATCCTTATCTTGTGATTATCCTCTCTTGCAGGAGTGTATAGTCCACCTCTTAGATTAGCGGACAAAGCTGTGAATCACCTTTCAAACGTGTATTCTACAGGTGGGAAGCATAGCACGATGGAATGGTACTATAAAAACAACAGCATTATACAGAGTTGTTTCTCCATATTGACAGCAAATCAGAAGTAATTTTCCGCCTAAATCAGGGCCTAATTCATTAGCTCACATTAATTCACAAGTTCAATCCAATTTCTCGAAATGCAATAACATGATCTTCCAACCTAATTATCTTCACTGAAAGTATTTAAAAGCATTTGCTGAGACACCTTTCTTTCTTGTGTCAGACGGGATCAACATCAAGTGAACAGCTGGGGTAGACTACATTCTTTCTAATTGCAGGGGGTTGACCTTTTAGGAAATAATCATATTTTGCAAGAGTGAAATTTTCCCGAGTGGACACCAAAGGGTACCAACTGGTAAAAAAAAAAAAGTTAAAATGTTTATAATTTACATACACTCAAATACAGACACACACACACACACACACACACACACACATATACTTTTGACATTCTGTAGCACTGAAAATATTACAATCTGGTGGACTTCAATAATTTAATCAACTAAGAGATGTTTAAGATTCAAAGAAGGAAATTTTTAAGAAATAGAACAACAGGACAGAATTTACAGTTGAAATGCCATCCCATATTATTACCACTCAGGAAAAGTGATAGATATTTCTCTTAAAATAATCAAGAGGAAACAACTGGTCTGTATTGAATGCATTTATTTCAATAGCTCATTCACTAAAACCCCCCCGAGCTTTAGTTCAAAAAGGTAATTTTGATTTTCTTTTGATAATCAGGAGAATCAAGACACTTTTCTAAACAATCACATTTTTTGGTCATTTACTTGGAGAAAATATCTTTTAAAAGCATGTTTAAGGTGAACCTGAAAGCAAAAATTAGTATAAGAACAAGAACATTTTATTCCTCAACTCAACCTCAAGTTTAGCTTTTAATTATTTCCTATTTTGTAAGAGTCATGCTGCCATTAGTTCTGCGTTTGCGAGTCAGCCAGTGTTCTCCTAACACTGTTCACTAAACTCATTTAACTCACGCCCTAGGCCAGTAGCAAATCTCCTTTTCCAGCTGTGATACTTTAATAGTTTAAATTTCTAAAGTAAACAGCATCATTCACGCCTTTAAAAACCAGTTCTGGCAGCGATTAACGAAACTAAACACTTCAGAGAGCTTCAAGTACATACCGTTAGAATTCACGCGTCAGATACAAACTCTGTAACATATAATGAATGGAAATGCCCAAACCCCAGAATCCAGTTTAGGCAATGGGACTACAGATTCATTTAAAAAGATGGAGAAAAATAAAATAAAATAAAATAAAAAATAAAAAGATGGAGAGTCAATTAACAAGTGTATTATTTCATTTTAAATCTGTTATGAGACATGTATGAGTGAGAACAGACAGTACTGCTATTCAGCATTCATGAACGGAAGCCACACATGAGCCATGTTCAAGCTCAATGAACTTACCTTGTATACTTGTCCATATGTTCCATTGCCAACAAGTTCCACCAATTCAAAGATTCCTGCGGGGTCCTGAAAGAAAAGAAATAAACAATAAAAATTCAAAACAATACTCTAGCCCTTGTCTTAATCAAAAGCAAATGCACATTTAAAATTAGCAAATAAATAACAGCTTTGGGGAGGCTCTCATATGTTAATATTAAAGAGTATTAAAATTTAATTCAGCTGCAGCTATGAAATGAGACAAAATCCATTTGTTTCTATTTTACACTTCTACGAGATGTGTTTAAATCAGACAAAAGGAGACAAGACTTTCATGGAAACAAAAAAAAAAAAAGAATTAACACATTTCATACTGTCAAATGGAAATACACTTGTAGGTACATTGGCATAAAATGAAAGACACATCAATCCAAGGGGGTTCTAATTTCTAAGATCTTTCTGCTTGACATGTCTGATCTGCTCCCTACGTTGAACACTGGCAGCTGAGAGAGGAGCGCTACTATACTGTGGGGCAATCTTCCAGCGGTAGTCAACAGTTTTCAAGAGAAAATGGAATCCACCAAACTTCCTCTCTCAGAAGGTATTCCTCTGAATTCATCTCCCTTCCCAACAATGCTGCCTCTGCAAAACACACTTTTGCAGACAGCCTCCAGTTCTTGCAGGACTTGGAGGGTCCCAGCAGGACCCAGAATGCAAAGGAAACTGGAGAATGACGCACATTCTTACCCACGAACGGGTGTCTGCTAACCTGAGAGTCACTAAATGTTCCCGTGCTCAGTAAATATCCAATAATTTTGTCTATTATTCCTGAATTACCAACACCAAAAGTCAAAAAGAAAAATCAAAGCCTATAAAATTCAACTCACAGACAGAAAGTGACTTTGATCTCTTCTGATTCCTACTTGGAGAGAAATGATTTCTTTAAAGGCCTAGATCAGGAATCACAAACGCACATGTCCACACAGGGCAAGCAAGTAACCAAGAAGAGAGAGGAAGGCCACGGAGGCCTGTGGCAGGATGAGGAAGTCCTGTCTCCTTTGCAGGTGGAGGGGGATGCCTAGCTGGAACCAACAGCTGTCGCTTCAACCTATGAGCACAGTCTTACCAGGTCTAAAAATTTCTTTGAAATGAAATTGAACATTTTGCATAACGTGAGATCTCCTCATTTTTAAATGTTAGGCATTAACTCACTTAAAAAAAACACACACATAAGACAACACACACAACAACAAATACTGAGAGACAAATGAAAAAGACTTCAACCTCTGACCTAAAAAGCATTTCCCACCTCCAGTCAACAGGTTTTCGGAGCACTGCCAAATGGCATGACAGTGGCTGAGCGGCAGAGGGGACAGGTTCAGACAGACCTTTTAGGTTTTTAGACAGACCTTTTTGGATTTTAGGTTCAGACAGAACCTAAACAGGGCTGAACACGAGCTCTGGCTGGTGTGGCTGCCTGAATCCAAGATCCCCCTGGAAGAGCAATTCAGTCTCTGTGCAGATAAAACGGGGATGACATCTACACAGGAGAGTCCTGGGAAAGAGCAGGTGAGGGCTTAGCACCCACTTGCCCATAGTCAGCAATCTAATAGGAATCGTTTTTTAAGCTGAGGAATCCCACACCTCTATAACATTTAAAGGGAGAAGTGCTCATATTCATGGAGAAGAAGATAAATGAGTTTAATGTGACAAGTTAGAGCTCATTAAAGTGACAGCTTTCATTAAGTCAGGCCCAAGAAAAGCACTTTACAATGTGCCTTCAAAGATCCCTCACAGAGGGACTTCACTCATGGTCTGGTGGCTAAGACTCCATGTTCCCAGTGCAGTGGCCCCGGGTTCGATCCTTGGTCAAGGAACTAGGTTCCATGTGCTGCAACTAAGAGCTCGCCTGTCCCGACTAAAAGATGTCCCATGTCACCACTAAAATTCAGCACAGCCAAATAAATAAATTTTTTGAAAAATAAGTAAATAAAAGATCCCGAGAACCTAAAGACTCCCACATGCTATAACGAAGATCGAAGATCCCATGTGCCACAACTAAGACCCTGCCAGATAAATAAATAGAAATATTCTTTTAAATTATGCATTTTAAAAAAATCCCACAGAGAAAACAAGTTAAGAAAAATAGTAAGACAAAAAAACAGTAGAAGCACTTAAGTCACTCACAAAACTGGAATTAGCATTATCCATTGTTATAAAGCCAGGAAGGCAAGAAACCCCACTACAGACTGATGGAGAAGTCCAGAAATTCCATCTCTGCCTCACCTTGGTCAGGGAGGCATGGACAAAGTCCCAGACAGCACCATAAGACAGGACAAAGAAAGGGCATAGAGCTCTGAGCATGGAGACCCCAGAGCTAAAAGTCACTGCAGGCGCCTCAAGATGGAAAAGAAAAATTGTGTTTGTTAAACTACTAGACCATTAGAGCAGTAGGTTTTATAACAAACGGAACTAGAAAGAAGTGAGGAAAATGGGGGTGGGGGAGAGAGGCCCACACATGGTGGCAGCTGCTGTTGGTTTCTAAGCTGCGCTTCCCAGGAGTTTGTTTGCTCAGTGGTGTTTCTGCAATAAATTTCGAGAGGTTCTACATTTGCTTGAAATATCTCGACTGTTTTCAACGTTAATTTTTCTTGATGTAAAAAAAAAAAAAAGAACGAAAGAAAGGAGATGTAGGATGAAAGGGAAAGTGAAAGTCACTCAGTCGTGTCTGACTCTTTGCAACCCCATGTCTGACTCTTTGCAACCCCATACAGTGCATGGAATTCTCCAGGCCAGAATACTGTAGTGGATGGCCTTTCCCTTCTCCTGGGGATCTTCCCAACCCAGGGACTGAAGCTGGGTCTCCCGCATTGCAGGTAGATTCTTTACCAGCTGAGCCACAAGGGAAGCCCAAGAATACTGGAGTGGGTAGCCTATCCTCAGTAAGTGTTGAATGCGTGAATGAATGAATGAATGAATGCGTTCATTTATTGAGCCCTTACTATGTGCTAAACACACATCTGTAACCCTGGCAAGAACTCTACAAGGTAGACATGATCTTCTTGACCCAGGAATTGAACCAGGGTCTCCTGCACTGCAGGTGGATTCTTTAGCAACTGAGATATCAAGGGAAGCCCCAAGACGTAGGATGGTGACTACTAACTGCCTTAAGGAGCCTGGGAAGCAGGGGAGGGTGGTGGAAGGGGAGGCAGAAGCAAAAACAGGGTGCAAAGTAGGGACACCCTTCTACACCGAGGGGTCACCCTACCTCACAAACCTCTCCTTGGGGCTGGGGTTTAATGGGGAGGTCTCAGGAGGAGCCAAGCAGCTGACTTCTAGGTTCCTTCCACTCCTCAAATAGTCCATTCACAGATAGGTGGCCCCGCCAATTAGATTCAAGAAGACTCAATGCCAGGATTCTGATTCCAGCGGCTTGGAGAGGGGGGGACATACTGAGGGGGTGCAGAAGCAAAGGTCAGAGGGACTACAGAGCATCATGGCAACTTGGGTAGGCAACTAAACCAGAAACAATCATCAAGTTAGGGTGTTTCCCCAGGAAACAGACTCTGAGAAGGGCTGAGATTTACACAGAGGGAGTTAGTCAGGGTGTGCCTCAGAACCAACACCAGTGGGGAGCGAGTTAAGAGAGTCTGGACTGAGCAGATGAAGGAATTAGAGCAACGGGAAGGAATACAGATTCCATCTGCTCCCACAGGTGCTCTGAAGCCGGGCTGACTCTTCAGGATCACCCTACCCCGAGGCACGGGGACCTCTCCCTCACCTCCAAAGACCAGTCATTGCATGCAGGCTGTCCCCCAGCCCAGTCGCAGACGTGATGATCTTGGGTGAAGGAATATTCCTTCAGCCGAGGACAATTCCCGGTATCGCTAGCCGCCTACACTCCCAGCAGGTGGACAGTGAGCGCCTCAGTAGTGGAGAGCACTGTAAGCATTGTGGCCAGAAATGAGGCTTCCCTGGAGGCTCAGATGGTAAAGAATCTGCCAGCAGTGCAGGAGACCTGGTTGGGTTCGACCCCCGGGTTGGGAAGATCCCCTGGAGAAGAAAATGGCAACCCACTCCAGTATTCTTGTCTGGAGAATTCCACGGACAGAGGAGCCTGGTAGATTACAGTCCATAAGGTTGCAAAGAGTTGGACACGACTTAAGCAACTAACACTTTCACTTGCAATTGAAAGCAAAGTCTCCAGGCATCTACCTACTCCAGTATGCTCCAGTAATAAGACAAAATGGCACGGAGTCATGGTGTTTGAAAGAAATCGGCTCTCTGAGACCCTAGAGAGCACAGGCAGAACTACAGTGCAGGAACACGCGAACTGACAGCTGACACTGTCAGCTAAGTGTCCCCCACCCTTCTCCCTGAAGCCAAGAGCCTGGGTAGCTGGATGTCTGTGCATATACCCTTACACAAATGCATATAAATGTTAGAGACTTTCCCTGGGAATCATGATGCAGCTTGAGCATTGTAAGTGTTCAGCTGTGTTCTCCAGTCCTGGAGGACTCTAAAGTCATTTCTCCCATGGCTCACCAGCAACCTGAATCTCTTGTTTGTAAAGGTCTCTTCTCAGCCTGTCCTGGGTGTTCCCTATGAGGCTCTGACACTGCTGAGCATCACCACTCTTGTTGGAATCCATCCTCTCCATCCTCTTCCATCACACCACTCAGTCTCTCAGAGAGATTTTCGTTTCTTCTGCCTCTCCCTTAAAGGTTGGCCAACCCCAGGGTTCCATACTCATGTTTTGTATGAAGTGCTCATGATTTTATGCCCCAAAGTCCACCATATCCATCTATTCCAATCCATTCATACAACAGGGCTCACCATCTCTTGCCGGGATTATTTACTTTCAATCAATTCTCTCCTCCTTTCAATCTTTCACACCAATCATCCTCAAACAGACATTTCTACACACAACACACCCCAGTTTAAAATCCTATACAACGTAATTCAAGTTGAAAGTAAGGAATCTGTCGTTCTGAGGCCCAGCCCTCAGTCCCAGCCTCCAACCTGCCAAGATTATTCCTCCTACCATTCTCTTTGAGGCAAGCCCATCCTTGAAGGCCCAGCATCACACC